CTCCTTATCTCCATCTTAAATGGGAAGTCCCCTTATTCTGAAACTGTACGCCTCATTGTAGAATTGCACACAGGGCCAAAACATCCCCTCAATATCTATCCTAGCAGACACCCTTAGAAATTTGTTTAAAGACCACCTTTCACTCTTCTAAACTCCAAGAAGTACTAGCTCAACCTTTCCTTATGAAATAATCCCTTCATTTTATGAATAGCTTAGTGAACCTTCTCTGAACACCCTTCAATACAAGTGTATTGTTCTTTAAATAGGGAGATCAAAACACAGTACTGTAAGTATGGTTCATCAAAACCATCTATAGATGTAACACGATTTTGTTCCTACTGTCTTTGATTAAACACAGATATTTTTTGATTTCTTAGTTAGTTAACGTACCTACCTTTTGTGACATCTAGGTCTATGACTTCCTTCCTAAAGTGCAGTGCCCAGAAACGTTCCCAATATTCTTGCTGGGGCCTGAGCTATGTTTCTAAAGTACCGAGTACAACTTCCCTGCTTTTGAGGTATATACCTCTACATAAAAAAGCTCTGGACCCTATATGCCTTTCACCAGTCTTAACTCAGCCTACCACTTGTACATACTTACAATCTTAGTTGTTTCTGTTCCTGAATCTACAAAAGTATTTCGTCTTTACTGCCTTTCTTCAATTTTTCTGCCAAAACAAAATCACTTCTACTTCTCCTTGTTACATAAGTAGTGATGTCTTAATGCAACTGTACAAGGTGCTGGTAAGACCACATTTGGACAATCAGCAGTTTTGGTCCCCTTATTTAATAACAGATATTGTTTCATTAAGGTGGGTCAGAGAGGTTTCACTCGGGTGATCCCCGTTATTGGAGGGATTGTCAAAGGCTAATCAGGGTGGGAGTCTACTCACGAGTTTAGAGGAATGAAAGGTGATCTCTTTTTTATTCATTTGAGAGATGTCGGTATCAGTGGCTGGCATTTATTGTCTGTCCATAGGAGGCAAGAACGGAGGGATCGCATTTTTGATTAAGGAATACATTATTGCTGTATCTAGGGAAGATATTTCTGAAAAATCGTACAGTGAAAATATATGGACAGGAATTACAAATAAGAAAGGAAAGATCACTTTGATGTGATCGTACTATCGGCCTCCAGTAGTAAGTATGGAGATCTCTGTAAGAATAATAGGGTGGTGATCGTGGAGGTTTTAACTTTCCAAACATAGACTGGGGCTACCATAGTGTTAAAGGTTTGGATGGTGAAGAATTTGTCAGATGTGTTCAAGAAAATTTTTTTTTATCAATATGTGGATGCTCCAACTAGAGAAGGAGCAAACCTAGACCTTCTTTTGGACAATAAGGCAGGGAAGATGACTGAAGTAAAAGTGGAGGAACACTTTAGGTCTAGTGATTATAATTCGATTGGTTTCAAAATGGTTATGGAAAAGGATAAGCCTTCCTAAAAGTTAAAGTTTTTAATTGGAGTAAGGCAAATTTTAATGGTATGAGACAAGAACTTTCAAAAGTTGATTGGAGTAGACTGTTCACAGGTAAAAGAACGTCTGACAAGTGGAAGGCGTTCAAGACTGTGAAGATGAGAGTTCAGAGGCATTATGTTGTTTAGAGTGAAGGGAAAGACTGGTAAGATTAAGGAACAATGGATGAATAAAGATATTGAGGTTCTAGTCAAGAATAAAAGAGAATCTTATTTTAGATATAGTTAACTTGGTTCAATTGAATCTCTTAATCAATATAAAAAGAGTGTAGGGGCATTCTTAAGAGAGAAATCAGGAAGGCAAAGATATGAGATAGCATTGGCAGATAAGGTTAAGGATAATCCAAAGAGATTCTACAAATACATTAACAGCAAGAGGGTAATTGAGAGACAGTAGGGCTTCTTAAAGATCAAGGGGGTCATCTTTGTGTTGAATCCCAAGAGATGTGAGAGATACTAAATGAATATTTTTTAATGTGGAAAAAGAAATGGAATCTAGAGAATGCACAGAAATAAACTTTGATGTTTTAAAAACAGTTCACATTACAGAAAAGGAAGCTTGGAAGGTCTTAGGGAATTTAAAGGTTGGTAAGTCTCCAGGACCTAATCTACTGGGAAGTAAAGGAGGAAATTACAAGACCCCTTGCAGAAATATTTGCATCAGCTATAACTATGGATGAGGTGCCTGATGATTGGACAGTGGTTAATGTTGTACCTTTGTTTAAGAAAGGTTAAAGAGAAACCAGGGAACTATAGACCTGTGAGTCTGACTTCGATTGTGGGTAAATTGTTGGAGGTGATTACAAAAGATGGACATTTAGACAGGCAAAAATTGATTAGGGATAGTCAGATAGTTTTGAGTGAGGAAAGTTGTGTCTCACAAACTTGATTGAGTTTTTTGAGGAAGTTACCAAAAAGCTCGATGATGGCAGAGCAGTAGACATTGTTTATTTGGATTTTAGTAAAGCCTTTCACAAGGCTCTGCCTGGTAGATTAATTAGTAAAGTTAGGTCACATAGGATTCAGGGTGAGCTTGCCGATTGGATACGTAATTGGCTTAACAGTAGGAGACAGAGTAATGGTGGAGGGTTGCTTTTTGGACTGGAGGCCAGTGACCAGTGGTCTTCCACAGGGATTGGTTCTGGGTCCTCTTTTGTTTATCACCTATATAAATGATTTGTATGAGAATATAGAAGGCATGGTTAGTAAGTTTGTGGATGATACCAAAATTGGTGGCATAGTAGACAATGAAGAAGCTTTTCTAATATTACAAAGGGATCTTGATCAAATGGGTCAAAGGACTGAAAATGGCAGATGGAGTTCAATCTGGATAAATGCGAGGTATTACATTTTGGTACAATGGTAGGGCCTTGGGTAGTGTTGTAGAACAGAGGGACCTAGGGGTGCAGTTACATAATTCTTTGAAGTTTCTGTCACAGTTGGCACTCTTGCCTTCATTGCTCAGTCCTTTGAGTACGAGAGTTGGGAAGTCATGTTGAGGTTGTACAGGATATTGGTGAGGCCTCTTCTGGAATACTGTGTCCAGTTCTGGTCGTCCAGTTGTAGGAAGGATATTATCAAGTTGGAGAGGATTCAGAAGATTTACCAGGATGTTGCTGGGAATGGAAGGTTTCAGATATAAAGAAAGGCTGAATAGGTTGGGACTTTTTCACTGGAGTGTAGGAGGTGGAGAGGTGTCCTGATAAAAGTTCATAAAATAATGAGAGGTGTAAATAGAGTTAATGGTAGTTGTGTTTTCTCTAAAATTGGGGATTTCAAGACTGGGGGCACATTTTTAAGGTGAGAGGAGAGAGATTTAAAAAAGATATGAAGCAAGTTTTTACACAGAGGGTGAACTACCTGAGGAAGTGGTGGATGTGGGGACAATGACAACGTTTAGAAGATATTTGCATAGATACATGAATAGGAAAGGTCTGGAGTGATATGGGAGCAGGCAGGTGGGACTAGTTCAGTGTGGGATTATGTTCGGCATAGACTAGTTGGACCAAAGGTCTGTTTCTGTGCTGTATGACTCTGATTCTATGTCCTTGAGATGGTAAGCTGCAGCCCACTTGCTATGGGTTGACCCACAATGCCTTTAGGGAGGAAATTCCAGGATGTTGATTCAGTGACAGTGAAAGAACAGCAGTATATTTCCAAGTCAAGATGGTGAGTGGCTTGGAGAAGAGCTTGAAGGTGGTGGTGACCTTATGGAGGTTTTAAAAACCACGAGGGGTATAGGCAAGGCGACTGGTGGGTGTTTTTTTTTTTCGCTATGGCAGGGGATTTCAAGACTAGGGGACATATTTTAAAGGTGAGAGGAGAAAGATTCAAAAAGGACATGGGGGGGCAACTTTTTTTAAAATAGAGAGTGGTTCATGTGTGGAATTAACTTCCAGAGAAAGTGGCAGATGCAGGTACAGTCTCAACATTTTAAAAGACATTTGGATAAGTACCTGAATAAGAATAATTTGGAGGGAAAATGGGTCAAGCGCAGACAGGTGGGACTAGATTTAGTTTGGGATTATGGTTGGCATGGACTGAAGGGTCTGTTTCCGTGCTACATGACTCTATCTGCTGCCCTTGTCCTTCTAGGTGGAAGTGGTTGTGGGTTTGGAAGATGCTATCTGACGATCTTTGGTGAATTTCTGCATACATCTTGTAGATGGTAGCAGCAGTATGTACTAAGCATCAGTGGTGCAGGGATCATTGAGACGTCTGGATTCTTGAGGGCTTGATAGGGAGAGTCTAGGGCCAGGGGACATCATCTCAGAATAAAGGGTTGCCAATTTAAGACTGACATGAGGAGCAATTTCTTCTCTGAGGGTTCAGAGTCTTTGTAATTCCTTGCAACAGGGAGCAATGGAGTGTAGACCTGGTGTATAATTAAATCCGAGGCAGATAAATTATTGATCAGTACGGAATTATGGGGTAAAAACAGGAAAGTGGATGTAAAGAATGTCGAATCAGCCTGATCCAATCAAATTGCGGAACAGGTTCGAGGGACCGAATGGACTCCTCTTGTTCCTTTTACTTTCATGGTCACACAATGTTACAAAAAAAAGGTAGTAAATCAAAGGAGGAAGGTAACCCGGTAATGAACAAGGCAATTCGAAAGAAGTGAGCACTAATATTTATCAGAAATTCTTAAATTAGCAAGCACTGGAAAACAATTTGGATACAAATCTCTGGGGTTGCTAAACAATTCACCCGTACTGCCACTAAAAACGGAATCAGCCTGAAATAGGGCAAAGCGTGAAAAGAAAGCTGGCGCCGTGAAGAGCAGTGAGGGTCGGTGGATGATTAAAGGTGAAGGAAGTTGCAGAGCTCTGGGTGAAGCTGCTCTCTGAAGGTCGAACCGCCGCCGCCATGTTAACTCAGCCAGGCCTGGGCTAACCTGCAGACGGCATCAACAAAATCCTTCCTTTTCAGACAGGTTAGTGCCCTAGTTGCAAACAAAACAGACCCTCTCACTCTGTTTCAAATACCGGGCTATGACTGAACAAGCGGTGTCGGTCCTTACCGAGTGTGAGACTGCAGAACGGAACAGGCCTGACAGTAACATGGCGGCGCAGCTCCCAGTCAGCAGCAGCATCGATACAATCACTGAGCTACTGCACAGCCCCTACAATCAAACTCAGAACAAGACCTCCACCTACTGACAGTGCACCTCCAAATGGCTTTATAGAAATTACCTCTCCACCTCCAACTGAGCTTATAGAAACTGACAGTCCACCTCTGACTAGCTGTAACTGAGTTTATAATGAAGACCACAACGCATAGAAATAAAATTAGGCCATTCAGCCCATCGATTCAGTCCACCATTGCTTATGACTGATATGTTTCTCAGCACTGTTCTGCCTTTTTTTTCCCCATAACCCTCGAACTCCTCACTAATTAAGAACGTATCTGTTTTTGCCTCAAATATACTCAATGACTTGGCCTCCACAGAATTCTGCAGGAAGGTGTTCCACAAATTCACTGCCCCCTGGCTGAAGACATTCCTCTTCATCTCAATTCTGAAGGCTGTGCCTCAGGTTCTAGTCTTTCCTAGTAGTGGAAATATCTTGTCCTCGTCCACTTTATTCACAGCTCTATTCTGTAAGCCTCAATGAGATCCCCCAACTCCCTTATACTTCAAAACTCTATTGAGTACAGACTCAGAGTTCTGAATCTCTCCTCAAATTATAAGTCCTTCATGCCCAGGATTATTGTTTGTAAATCTTCTCTGGAGTCCCCCCCCAGTGCCAGCACATCCCTAGTTACAGGGCTCACTAGTTGCGGTCTTGAGAAACACATCAGCCATGATCAAATGGTGAAGCAGACTCAATGGGCTGAATGGATTAATTCTGCTGCTTTATCTTATGGTCTATGCCTATCCTATCTGTTACCCTGATTTTATACTAGTGATGTCTACAGCCATCTATGCATTTAACTTTTAACCTGTTATTTCCAACATGTTAATTTATATGGCAAGACATTTAATGTATATTGTAATACGCTCTATATGATGGGCTTATATATAAAGCAATAACTTATGTACCTAGTCTAAAGTATTTGTATCATGAAAATGTGCATTTTACAAATTGTATACTTATATTGCATTATTCATTAATATACATAAGCAATGTATAATTTTATGTGTGTGTATGTATGTCTAAAAGAAGACATCAACGATTATTCTACAGCTATTCAAAATGGCTGACCTCCTGATTTTCCAAAACCTTTCCACAAGACCCCATTATCACCTTCAAGACAGGAGAAGTGAAAATGTGAAATCTGTGTCGAGTGGTTGGGGTGAATATTTATAATAAATCCATTTAAGTAGAAGCGAGGTAGGTACAAAGGGAGGAAAGAACATGGGGATTCTGATGATAGGGTTGAAATCTACACGCAACAAGACCTGGACAATATACAGACTTGGGCTGGTAAGTAACATGTTTGTCACACAAGTGTAAGGCAATGACCATCTCTAACAAGATAGAGTCTAACCATCTCAGTTTGACTATTGCTGAATCCTCCTTATCAACATCTGGAGATTACTACTGGCCAGTAACTAACTGAGATAACAAGGTGTAGAGCTGGATGAATACAGCAGGCCAAGCAGCATCAGAGGAGCAGGAAGGCTGATGTTTCGGGCCTAGACCCTTCTTCAGAAATGGGGGAGGGGAAGGGGGTTCTGAAATAAATAGGGAGATAGGGGTAGGCGGATAGAGGATAGATAGAGGAGAGGAGACAGACAGGTCAAAGAGGCAGGGATGGAGCCAGTAAAGGTGAGTGTAGGTGGGGAGGTAGGGAGGAGATAGGTCAGTCCAGGGAGGACGGACAGGTCAAGAGGGAGGGATGAGGTTAGTAGGTAGGTGATGGGGGTGGGGCTTGAGGTGGGAGGAGGGGATAGGTGGGAGGAAGGACAGGTTAGGGAGGCGGGGACGAGCTGGGCTGGTTTTGGGATGCAGTAGGGGGAGGGGAGATTTTGAAGCTTGAAGTCCACATTGATACCATTGGGCTGCAGGGTTCCCAAGCGGAATATGAGTTGCGTGTCTCCCGCATTTCCTGCAACTCATCCCTCACACCCCCTCCCCACAATAACAACCAAAACAGAATCCCCCTCATCCTCACGTACCACCCCGCCAACCTCCAGATCCAATGCATCATCCTCCGACACTTCCGCCATCTGCAATCCGACCCCACCACCAAAGACATTTTTCCCTCCCCACCCTTATCTGCTTTCCGGAGGGACCACTCTCTCCGTGACTCCCTTGTCCGCTCCACACTCCCCTCCAGCCCCACCTCACCCGGCACTTTTCCCTGCAACCGCAGGAAGTGCTACACCTGCCCCTACACCTCCCCTGTCTCCCCCATCCCAGGCCCCAAGAAGACGTTCCACATCAAGCAGATGTTCACCTGCACATCTGGTAATGTGGTATATTGCATCCGCTGTTCCCGTTGTGGCCTCCTCTACATTGGGGAAACCAAGCGGAGGCTTGGGGACCGCTTTGCAGAACACCTATGCTTGGTTCGCACAAAACAACTGCACCTCCCAGTCACGAACCATTTCAACTCCCCCTCCCATTCCGCAGACGACATGTCCATCCTGGGCCTCCTGCAGTGCCACAATGATGCTACCTGAAGGTTGCAGGAACAGCACCTCATATTTCGCTTGGGAACCCTGCAGCCCAATGGTGTTATTGTGGACTTCACAAGCTTCAAATTCTCCCCTCCCCCTACCGCATCCCAAAACCAGTCCAGCTCGTCCCTGCCTCCCTAACCTGTCCTTCCTCCCACCTATCCCCTCCTCCCACCTCAAGCCCCACCCCCATCTCCTACCTACTAACCTCATCCCGCCCTCTTGACCTGTCCGTCCTCCCTCTCCACCTACACTCACCTTTACTAGCTCCATCCCCGCCTCTTTGACCTGTCTGTCTCCTCTCCTATCCATCTTTTATCCGCCTCCCCCTCTCTCCCTATTTATTTCAGAACCCCCTTCCCCTCCCCCATTTCTGAAGAAGGGTCTAGGCCCGAAACGTCAGCTTTCCTGCTCCTCTGCTGCTGCTTGGCCTGCTGTGTTCATCCAGCTCTACACCTTGTTATCTCAGATTCTCCAGCATCTGCAGTTCCTACTATCTCAGTAACTAACTGAACCAGCCATAGGATACAACAACATTTCAAATGCCAGGAAGTGACTTCCCAATGCTTCCCACATTAATAAAGTCCTGCTTTGTTTGGAGTTTAAATTGAATAGCATAATATTAGGTTAATCAACTAAAATAGTCTGAACTAAACTATACTAATCATGAAACATTAATTTCCCTACAAATATTTATTCTTGTATATTTCATCCTACATTTTAGGCAGCCTGTAGACCACTCTCACTTATGATGTCTTTTCCCATTGTGTCCTTATCTCCACCAAAACTAATTTTAAATTCTGACCTTATGAAACAAAATTCTCTCTATTACACCAATGTCATATTTGATCAAGATTGCTGCACCTAAGCCTAGCTTCCTATTCTTCTTAAATGTCATGTATATCTCAAAATTTAGGACCAAATCATTGTCATCCTACACCACCTCTACAGAATGGTTATCAGATTATATTTATTTCAAACAGAAACAGAAATTGCTGGAGAAAGTCTGCTGAGTACAATTCCTGTTTTTGTTTCAGATTTCCAGTTCTTTGTTTCAATTTTTTTATTTCAATCTATGCTCCCAGTTTGTTTATATTGTTATAAATGCTATGCACACTCAGATACAGAGACTTTTGATTACTCTTTGTTATCTTTGTAACATGTTGTCTGGATTGTTCTTCGGTTTTGTTTTCTCTCTGCATTTTCCTGCCATTCTTTGATCTCCACTTTCCATACAGTTATTTTGCTCTGCTTTCTCAACTCTACCCCATTGATTTGGTACATTTACCCAAGCTTGAGTCCTCACAACATCGCCCCTTCCTATTTAATTAGTTAAGAGATTTTTATTATGAGCATATTATATTATGAGCATTGCTGAATAAAGGTGCATTTTGCTAAAGCTTTTCATCTTGCTCTCATCAGACCATTTTACAAGAATACCAATTCAAGAGGAAAACCACACCTTCCGAAACAAACGGAAATATTCAAGTTCTGTACTACTAATTGACAATTTTTAAATATCAAAAGAATCACCATCGTTCATGAATCAATCATGCCTTTCGTACAATGTCACTGTTTGATCAGTTTGCCCCCAATTAATACAAAGTGTTAAATCCTGCCTCCTATCTTGAAGCTAAAGCCCCTGAGCCTTTGCCTCAATTTATTTTCTACTTCCTCTCTTGCAATTTGTTGACCTTGGTATTACAGAGATTGATCATGCTTCCAGCAGCAGGAAGACACATTTGATATTCTGAGTAAGGAAGGTAACCATGGTGCCTCATTTGGAACCCACAATTCATGCTTCACCAGCACTGAAACTGGCAGATGATGTTAAAGAAAACAATAATCAGCAAACGAATGGCATTCCTCATGCAGCCAGTTTTTTCAGTGTGATTCTGAAGTTGCTGAAGCATTTGTGCCACAGAAATGATTTGGTTCAAGGTGTGACAAAATATACTGGGTATTTGTGATCAAGGTATGGCAATAATTATGGGTGACTTTAATCTACATATTAACTGGAAAAAATCAGATTTGCAGTAGCCTAGCTGAGGAGTTCGTAGAATGTTTTCGAGGTTTTGGAACTGACCAGTGAGCAGGTTTATTAGACTTGGTAATGTGCAATGTGACAGGATTATTTAATGTGTAAATCTATAATTAAAAGCTCATGAACATCTGTTATGGTTGGCTCCAGTTCTATCCTCCACCCAATGGCTTCTGAAACATAATAATTGTGAGATTTTTAATGTCAGTTAGGTGTACAAGTGCTTTTTTTAAGAGAGCAAAGAATTTTCTTTACAGTCCTGGTTGAAATTCATCTTTTACCAATACTAACAACACATTAAATATTAATCACACCTTACTATGGCTGTTGTGGGCATCATAAGGTCAGAAATAAATGCTACTTTTTCTTATCATCCTTGCTCTTCCCAACTGCCGAGCAGAGTTTTGAATCTAGTAAATAAAACAATGAACTTCTGTGAAATTGTGCAGTGCACTA